CTATCCATATAAACTGAGCCTCCTAGATAGAGTGAATTTAACTGTGGTTGAATGAGAAGTATAAATATATAAAACTCTGATAGTGTATTAGTTTGTACACAAACAAATCATCACTTTGTGGTACTTTATACATCACTGAATAAATCAATAAATCAGGTTGTGAAACTCTTTGTGTCAGAGGCCAGAATTGGTTTATTTGAACAGAATAATAAAGTCTGCGCTGATCTTCAGTTATTCAGTTCCTTCAGAACCTCCAGAACTTCATTAAGGACTTATTTTAAATGTTCTGGGTTCAGTAAAGGTCTCACAGCTCTTCAGGGTCCAGAGGAAAGGATCCACTCTTACTGATCCGGTGGTCCTCAGACAGTTCTCCAGGGGCTGCTGCCTGATTACAAGAAACACTGACGTCCCCCCAGGGAAACATGTTCCACATTCAGCCAATCCAATTAGAGAACACGAGGAGGCGGTCTCCATGGTGACCGAGGAGACAGACAGCTGGGTGACCTCCGGTTGAGCTTCATCAGGAAGTCCAAACCCATGAAACACATATGTTCTGTTTCAGAGGGTCGTGCTGTAATCAGCCTGTGTTTGTCGGGGGAGGGGCTGAACCATGAGAGGCGTCAGTGTCTGATACAGCAGCAGCTGCTCTGAATCACCAGCAGACAGATCCAGATACCTCCATCAGCTGCCTCCATGTTTATGTTTTACAGGTCCAACAGGTTCTGTAGAACCTGAAAAACACTGAGTGAAAGAAACAGGTCTTTGCAAAGACCCACCAGAGCCCCTCTGAGGCCCCCACCTGCTGGAGCTGCTGGGATTTCCTCAGACTGTGGGAGAATTCAGACACGTTATTAACCCTGCAGGGCTTTCACCTGCCTCCGTGGAACCAGGTCAGCTCCGGGTCTGACGGTCCGACCTGAGGACCTGCTCACGATGCAGACCCGTCCAACAGCAGAACCTGAGGACTCTGAGTCCTCATGAGGACCTGCAGCATCTGGATGGAGTCAGGGGGAACCTCATCATGCAGAAACCCTGACCTGTGCAGAGATGAAGCCTCACAGAGGAACTGCTGTGACGTCYGACAGCCAATCAGAACGCAGCTTCATTTATCACCTGTCCTGAGGTGAAGCAGGTCCCACACCGCTGTTTGACTTTAATCAGCCGTTTGTGACAACAGACTGCACAAAGACCAGGTCAGGTCTTTACCTGAGATGACCTGAGGCCACAGGTGAGGCCACAGGTGAGGCCACAGGTGTGACCACAGGTGAGACCACAGGTGAGGCCACAGGTGAGGCCACAGGTGTGACCACAGGTGAGGCCACAGGTGAGACCACAGGTGAGACCACAGGTGTGATCCAGTATGTTCCAGAACCAAACAGCAGCTTGTTTCTCAGGTGATGAAAGCTCAGAGTCACATCAGGCTGCAGAGGATCAACAGGAGACTTCAAGCCTCCAACAAAAAGGAGGTCCTTCAGAGGGTTCAGTGTTCTCCCAAAGCCCCGCCCACAACCTGTCCTAACATAAACACCTGGTGAGGAGTGGAGAACAGGTAACTAAAAACTGGAAGCTTCAACCTGTGATCAAGAAAAAAAACATTTTCACGTCTCAAATGTCCAAATAAATGTCTTCAAATTCAGTYGTCWGCTGAGTTTAAGGTGGAATGTTCTGGATGCTGAGTTTAAGGTGGAATGTTTCTGGATGCTGAATTTAAGGTGGGACGTTTCTGGATGCTGAATTTAAGGTGGAACGTTTCTGGACGCTGAATTTAAGGTGGAATGTTTCTGATTTAAGGTGGAATGTTTCTGGATGCTGAATTTAAGGTGGAATGTTTCTGGTAATATTTGGGTTTATAATCTGACTCAGTGAAGCATCTCAGAGGTTCTGATTCCTTTCAGATTTATTTGATGCTCAGATTTTCCTCTGCAGACAGTGAAGTGTGTTCAAGTGTGTTTAGGTGTATTCAGGTGTGTTCAGGTGTGCAGCACACAGGTGGGAGGGGCAGTTGTGGACTCACAGGTGACCTCCTGTCCTCAGGCCCTCGTGCAGAGCCACAGAGAACCCGAACAGACTGCCAGCTTCGCCCGTCTTCAGCACCGGGAACGACGTGTCGATGTTAAACGCCACACACACTCCGACACACACGCTCAGCACGGCACACACACCTGTCCCCATGGAGACACAAACCCTGAGAGCAACAGTCAAACAAACAAAATGACAAATATATCAGAGATTAGTGACTGACAGTGAGGTGAAATCATTCCTGCACTCTGATTGGCTGCTGGTCTCACCTGGAGGAGACACCTGTTTGTTTACTTCTGTAAATAAATCGTATATTTTTATTTAGTTTGCTTCAGGGAAACATTAACCAACTAACAGAACTCCTATGCTGTAGACCTGGTCCTGATCGGTGTGCAGCCTGAGCCGTGGTCCAGCTGCACAGAATCAGAACCAAACTCTGCAGTTGATTGATAAATAAATAAATAAATAAATAAATAAATAAATAAATAAATAAATAAATTCTGTCACATTAAAGAGTAAAAAGTCAAACCTGTTTGTTGTCAGAGTGAAGCAGCTTCCTGTTGTTTGTTTGTTTGTTGATGGAGGTGAACGTCTGCAGGTCATCGGTTTGATTCCCTCTCTGCTCCGACTTCTCCTCAGTCTGCTGAAACACTTCTGCACGCGCTCAGAAGCCTCTCTCTCTCTCTCTGCACCAGCTGCAGGTCTCTCTACCTCCCTCCTCTCTCTCTCATTCTCATTCTTCAGTTGTGTTCGCTCGTCCTGAAATGAAATCATGTCTCAGAGTGTTTTGACCCGCCCACACACACACACACACACACACACACACACACACACACACACACAC